TAGTGAGGATATTAAAAATTTTACATTCTCATATAGAAGGTCTGCATAAACAAGATGTGGCTCAACTCAGCGAACTATTACAAACACTCTGTCCGTTATTAGATGCCATGGTGCGAGTAGGCGTTAAAGGTATCAGTCGTGAGGATCTACATACGCCATTATATCAACAGCTTAAAGGGTTAAAAAATAATCCGGCGTTAGCTTACCATGCTCACTATGCCTGCCAGGCATTGTTGTATATCCCAAATGACGAAACATTATGGAAAGAAGTTATGCGTCGAACTTTTGGTATTGTTGGTGGAACTATTAGTTTAATTGATGCGGTTAGAAGTTTAGACCCAAGTAAATTACTGGATACTTTTAAAGATTTCAGCGAAGCATTTGAACATATTGATGAGATTGTAAGTCGCATTCGAGAATTAGCCGATACGATTCAAACAGTAAAGGGAGAGATAAAAGAAATTCGTCAAGGAATAGGGTTTGAACAGACAAGACAGTGGTATTTGGCTCTACGATTTATAGATATCCTCATTCAAGAAAATCAGTTGAAGAAACTAGAGCAGTTTGTTCGTCAGACTCCTTATAATCAAAACAAATGGTTTTTAATAGGCCTATGCCAACGCTTAGGACAGATTGCATGTATACAACGTGATTTAAATATACAACAGAGGGCGGTTAAGTTTTTAGAGGATCTTTATCAAAACGAAAACCAGTGGGGGCAACATCCAGAAGTTAAAAATTACGCCGAAGCGATGATTAATATAGTGACGTCTGGTAAAAATGTATCTAATTCTTCCATATATGTGTCGCATATAATTAATTCAGCAAAGCAATTTGAAGTTAATTCCGAATTGTTGATTAAGGCTCGTCTTAAATTATCTCAAAATCTTAGAAAAATTAGAAAAGAATATTTCGATGAACTTGAACAAGACGAAGAGATTAAAAATGCATTAAGATTATATGTTCCACCAAAGGGAATGCGATCCCCAAATGCCACGAACCCTTTTGACTTAGAGACTGAGGTTAACACTTTCCTAGATCAGAAAAAAAGGTTCTGCTGATCCAAGGTGAAGCTGGAGCGGGCAAATCTACTTTTAACTGTCACCTTGATCAACGTCTTTGGGAGGATTATTTATCAAAAGACAATAATAACAAACATATTCCCTTATTTCTTTCACTTCCAACTATAGAAAATCCTAATGAGAGTATAATTCAAAAGTATTTAAGAGGGATAGATTTTTCTGAGGAAATAATCGAAAAGTTGAAACAGGAATGCAAGTTCGTGTTTATATTGGATGGATATGATGAGATAAAGGACTGCTAATCAAATTTTTATGATAAAAACAAACTTCGTGAGTGGAATGCCAAAGTTATCATCAGTTGCAGACCGGAGTATTTAGGCACGAGGTATCAACAAAATTTACTCCTAAAAATAATCTCAAGCATATGGCTAGCGCCTTTTTCTAAAGAGGAAATTCGAGAGTATATTAGAAAGTACGTCGAAAAACAAAATGAGGTCGCACAAAAGGTGTCATGGAATGCGCAAAAATATGAAGCCGTTTTAAAGCGTATTCCACATTCAGATCAGTTATTAAGTAACCCCTTTATATTAAAAATTGCTATGCAAGTCATACCAGACTTTGAGAACAAAAACTTAGTAAAAGGTATAACACGCTTAACCTTATATAATAAGTTTATAGAGAAATGGTTTGAACGATCCCAAGACCATTTAAGTCGCATTCAGTTAGAAGAAAAAGAAAAGGAAGCTTTTAAAGAATTGGATGAAACCGATTTTATGCGACGTTGTGCGCAATTTAACAAAGAATTGGCTGTCGAGATGTTTAAGGCCAATGAAGTAGTGGTGGAGTATTCGGACGCTTATAACAAAAGCTGGCGTTCTAACTTCTTTGGATATAAAGATCCAGAGATACGACTTTTACGTTACAACTCTCCTTTAAGTCGCAATGGTGACCAATATCGATTTATCCACAAATCTTTGTTCGAATATTTTGTTACCCGATCGATCTTCGAGGAGACTTGTAAAAAAGCCAGATCCACACTATTTGAAGGATATTCAATACTAGGTGATCCCGGGGTTGTCAGCTTTCTAACTGAGTATGTACAAAAGGATGGAGATTCAAAAGATGCGAAACAGATTAATAAATTCAGAGAAAATCTTTTTGGCTTTATCGAGAAATCGAAAGAAGAAACTAATTTCGAGATCGCCGCAGCAAATGCAATCACAATTTTAAATAAAGCTGGCATAGTCTTTAGTGGAAAGGATCTAAACGGCATTCATGTTGCTGGTGCTGACTTGAGTTACGGCGTGTTTGATCATACTCAGTTTAAAGGGGCAGACTTAAGTAATGTTAATTTCAAAAGGGCATGGTTACAATATGCAGATTTAATGATGCTAATATGACAGCCGCACAATTTGGTGAGTTTCCTTTTTTAGATTTTAAGGACTGGTGTTTTTGCTGCTGCTACTCCCCAGACGGACGTTCTCTTGCCGTTGCTAGTGGAAATAAAATCTTTCTTTATAATGTCGAAACGTTAGAAAAGATACATACTTTCGAAGGACATACTGATATTGTTTGGAGTGTGACCTTCTCACCTGATGGAAAACAACTGGCATCAGGTAGCTCAGATACGAAGGTACGGCTGTGGTCTTTCAAGAATTTAGATCAGAATCCTCGCATTCTATATGGACATGCTGAGAAGATTTGGAGTGTGACTTTCTCACCAAATCGCACCCAACTGGCATCGGGCAGTCTTGACAATACGTTGGGGTTGTGGTCATTCGAGAATTTAGATCAGAATCCACGCATTCTAAAAGGACATGCTGGATCAGTAAGGAGTATGACATTCTCTCCGGATGGTACGCAACTGGCATCTGGTAGTGATGACGGGACGGTGCGGCTGTGGTCTCTCGAAAATTTAGATCAGAATTCTCGCATTCTAAAAGGACATACTGATATTGTTTGGAGTGTGACATTCTCTCCTGATGGAACCAAACTGGCATCGGGCAGCTATGACAAGACGGTGCGACTGTGGTCTCTCGAGAATTTAGAACAGGGCCCACGCATTCTAAAAGGACATACTTATTGGGTCGAAAGCGTGGCCTTCTCACCTGGTGGCACCCAATTGGCATCGGGCAGCGATGACAAGACGGTGCGGTTGTGGTCTCTCGAGAATTTAGATCAGAACCCACGCATTCTAGGATATACTAGTTGTGTTAATAGTGTGACTTTCTCACCAGATGGCACCCAACTGGCATCTGGCAGCGATGACAAGACGGTGCGTCTGTGGTCGATCGAGAATTTAGATCAGAATCCACACATTATAGAAGGACATGCTGGTTGTGTAACCTTCTCACCTGATGGCACCCAACTGGCATCGGACAGCCATGACAAGACGGTGCGGCTGTGGTCCATCGAGAATTTAGATCTAAATCCACGCATTCTAAAAGAACATACTAGACCTGTTGGTAGTGTGACCTTCTCACATGATGGCGCCCAACTGGCATCGGGCAGCCGGGATAATACAGTGCGGCTGTGGTCCATCGAGAATTTAGATCTAAATCCACGCATTCTAGAAGGACATACTGATTGTGTCAGAAGTGTGACCTTCTCATATGATGGCTCCCAACTGGCATCGGGCAGCTCAGACAGAACGGTGCGGCTATGGTCTATGATATCCGGTAACTGCGTAGCTATTTTATACATTCCCGGGGAGGTTATTAGTATTGATTGGAAGAATACAAAAGCAGGTGACCTTTTATTAACGGGTGGTTCTGATAAGGTCATTCGTTTGTGGCATGTAAAAAGAATAGACGATCAAAAGTCGCAAGTCGTTTTACATTGGACGTCAAGTTAAAATATATTGTGGATTCCTAATGCATTTATTCAAAACGTGAAAGGTTTAAGTTCAATGAATATGCGCCTCTTAAGGCAAAGAGGTGCCACAGAAGACTCGGTAGTTTTACTTTAAAATCTTAAAGTCGATTGTTTGAAATTATTAGCAATCAAATATAGACTTATTTTTGTGATATTAAGTACTAGTACTTTATTTGTATTGTAAATTTATTATAAATAAACGAGTATTTACAATTATAGTATGTACACTATCACTCAGTAAGAACAATTTAACTGCTATCGTAGCTACATGTACGTTACGAACTCGACCATGTAAACGTAATTTCATAGTTAAAATTGCACGTGAACACGTTCAATAGTATTAGACAGTACAGTATCTGGTATTAGATTACACCTTATAGGTCACTTCTCTCCACCCACTTTTATTCCCTGAAGCACAGCGGAGGAGTATATCAAATATAACATCGTTATATTACTGGTATCATGTGTTCACGTGTCAGTTGCTTTGTGTTACAATTTGCTTCGAACTTTTCACGTTAGTAATGGCTAGTTTTGATTTCAATCTTAATTTTGCTATTTCAAAATTTTCAGTTTCTCTCTTAGCACTCATCTCAATTTCATAATTTTGGCCTTGACGATCCGTATTTTCTTTCAATGTCGGTCAAGATCAATTAAACCAATGGATTGAATATTTGTTATTTTATATAGAAAATTATATCAAATTGCAATATAAAGTACGCCTATTGTACTAGATATCAGTTGGGCTATTATGGTTCTATATAATTTTGATAATTTTTTTAATAACCAACGAAGCTCACCAGGACAACAACTTATAAGGGGAACGAACTGAGTTGAGTTCAGAGTGTAAGGCAGAGATATACATGCACTTATCTACCAAGGGCATTATATTAATCAAAAGGTATCTCGATATTCATATAAAGATTTTATTATAAAAATTTACATCATCGATCTATAGATTCTATTTCGCAATTGTATTTTAAGACCAATTGCCAAAGAACTTACATATAGCCGACCCAATAGTATAGTCTATAGATATTGAATTATGCATCACCATAGACCGTTTGAATAATGATATTATCATTAATACTGAATTTTCAAGGCTGATCACAAAGGAGTCATATTTTCTTCTTCTAATTTACAAAATTCTTTTGTCCAGTCCTTAATTAAATTGGTGTATTTCACGATAACATCTTTTTGTTGTGTTATATTATGTTGCAGATCAGCAATTTCCTTTAAAAAAAATCGATCGGAAGAAGCAAACAATTAAATTAGTTTTTTGTTAAATCTTTATCCTCGTGGAGTAATGATGCATAAGGTGAAAATAAAAGAAAACCAATTACCTCCTTTAAAACTGATTCCTCATTTTGCCTTTCCTTACGAACAATTTTTGCTAACGAGATTTCTAATCGTTTCGCTGCCTGTAAGAATCTGTACGTCTGAATGCTATTTGCTTTTCGACAGAATTTTTTTTTTTTTTTTACAATTTGATAAAGTTTTTTAAGGTCCAAAAGAAATCAAGGGATTAACATGACACGCATTTTGATAATTGAAACCATAAATCTTTCTATTCAATCTAATTTCCACTAATACCAAAATCATCCACATTCATCTTTTCCTTATTAAAACAAATGTGCGAGTTTTCAGACACCTGGTTACGATTATTTACCTTTAGCTTGCCTCTCCTCGTCGTTATGTTCAGAAACATTCGAAACTTTCGGTATTAATTGTTGTAAACATTCGTTGAACTCGGCGTTCAACTGATCCAGTAATGACTTCAAGGGTATGTCTGTAGCGATGTCTGTGGTGTTGGACGCCATTTTTTTAATAAATATCGCAAAGATCGGGGAAAAGGAAAGATGAGAATTAAAGTTAATAGCCTTTTATGCGTATAATTTACTTTGTGAACATTCTCTTGGACAAAGGGACGTTATCATGCAGCCAAAAGAATTACTGGCAAACGCGTAACAAACATATGTTATTTATAGTACATGAATAGGTAAAATTTCCGGTGGCGGAAAAAATATTGGTTGATCTTCAATGGGTATCACAACGAAAAAAAAGGAGGTGCCCCCACAATGCAGATCACGAGTAGGTTATAAACAGAAAAGTCGTAAAACAGTTACCAATGCTTACTAAAAACACGCATGGCACTACTTGTCAAGTGACATACATTGACAATTCGCATTGAGACACGTATCGTTATTATGCAGTCCGTTTATTTAACCGCATTATAAATAGAAAGGCCGAAAAACTTGAATCAAGAAATAATTTAATTCATCTTATAAAAATGAAATTCGTAGTTCTTTTTGCTCTGCTTTTGCTGGTTACAGAAATCTTTGCACACGGCGATCATGGTGGTAGTGACACGCGTGAAAATAGTAATGTTGTCGTTTTAACTCCAGACAACTTTGACCAATTAATTGGCAAAGATAAATTCGCATTAGTGGAATTTTATGCGCCATGGTGTGGACATTGTAAAAATCTGGTTCCCGTGAGTAAAAATTGATAACTTACTTTCATAATCGTGGTTAGACTAGTTCATTGGATGATATGATTTTACTATTTTCCTATTAGGTATATGAACAACTAGCCGACGCATTTGTTCATTCAAAAGACCGTGTTATTATTGCAAAAGTTGATGCAGGTACGACGATGACTTCGCGACTTATGACTCAATTATTAACAATATTGACTCAAATAAAATTTTATTCAAGATGACCATCGTGAGCTAGGAACTCGTTTTGATGTACAAGGATTTCCTACTTTGAAATGGTTTGGTAAAGATTCACTAATCCCCGAAGATTACAACGGTGGCCGTGATTTGAAGTCTCTGAGTGATTTTGTTGAAGAGAAGAGTGGTGTGTTATCCGTTTTTATTGATCCAGTTGTTTTAATTATTAACATGATCATTTATTATCGATTAATTAACATCTCGTAATAATCAACGCTTTAGGCATTAAACCTAAAATAAAGAAAGAGGTTACTGCTGTGAAAGTCCTCACATCTCAGTCATTCGATGAGCTTGCCTTGGACCCCCAAAAGAACGTGTTGGTAAGGTGTCACGCTTAATTTTCATTGGCTTCATTATCGTTTTTTGCGAGAAGCCTATATTTATTAAATTTAATTACAGGTTGAGTTTTATGCACCTTGGTGCGGTCACTGCAAAAATTTGGGTGAGACACTATTTTATTTCACTAACTTAATGGTTTTACTACAGATATCCTAAAGTTATTATTATACATTAGCTCCAATATATGAAAAGGTCGCCAAAGATTATGCTCAGGAATCTGAAGTATGTCACATTGAAAATCACTGTAATTCAATAATCTTCGGTGTAACTGATGACTTTAAATTAAACTCTGTTCTTCGAATATAGTGTGTGGTGGCCAACATCGACGCTTCCGATCACCGCACCATCGGTGATAGATATGATGTTAAAGGTTATCCCACCATTAAGTTTTTCCCTAAAGGCGAAAATAAAACCCCTGTCGATTACACGGGTGGAAGGACAGAACAAGATTTCATTGATTTCTTGAATGAAAATTGTGGGACACAACGTCTTGTCGGTGGCAGATTATCTGGAGATGTAAGTTGTATTATCACCATCATTCGTTTATTGTAAAACTTATAATCACCTAAATGTTGCACGTTTAATACCTTGCAACATAGGCTGGTAAAATACCAAAATTGGATGCGTTTGCAGTTGAATTTACCGATGCAACGACGCGAGCTGATAAAGAAAATGTGATCAAAGAAGCAAAAGTTATAGCTGATGAGTTAGACACACGGTTTGTGGTGTTTGCTTGTACATCTTTTTTCCTTGATCTTGCTCCTTCACAATCTTCATTTGCTGCATTTTTTTCTCAACTTCAGGTTTGCTCAGTATTATCCGAAGGTCATGGAAAAATCCCTGGAAAAAGAAGATTATGTGGATAAAGAGATAGCACGAATTAATAAGATTATTGAATCTGGTACCATATCTGATAACAAAATAGACGATTTCACGATTCGCAAAAATATTTTGTCGAGCTTCCATAAAGAAACTGTTCCGCAAGGAGGTCATGAAGAGCTATAATAATGCTGAGCTGCATAAACCAAAAGTATTATTGTACAATGATATATAGATGTGATTTGCGTGAGAGCACGTCCTTTTTACTTACAATAAACTACGTGACTTAATTTTTTATCGTTTCCAATAACATAATATTTATTATTAAATCAAAGTTATTAGTTAACTACTGATCCAGCAATTCAATAATTGTGGTATAGGTATACCATTAATGACTAAAAATGGGTTTCACCTATATCAATTAAAAAATTGGTTTTGAAAATAGGTAATATTAACAGAATTAACGAATTACATATAATTTTAGTGTCAAATACTGTATGTACAAGGGGAATTAAATATATATATTATTTTTTATTTTATAATTGTTTAATTATTTCTTTTTGGATAAGAAGTATTGACGTCATGGTTTTATTGATATTAAATCATACTATATATTCAAATGGTTTTATACATGTTAATAATTATATACCAATTGAAAGTTTAATTAATCTATTTTTATTTTAAACTCAATTATGTAAATTTATACTAATTGATAAACTTATACTTTAGATAAACTCTTTATAAACTAAAATTCCGTTATTGGTTGTAAATCATCTAAGCTAAATTATTTAGATACAGTTATATTATTGAAAAAATTTCATAAAATATCATTTTTAAAAAATCTATTTAAAAATATCATAATTATTTTTTGCTTATATTAAAATTATCTCTTATATAATATTACAAAATTTATTATATTAATATACAAATTAAATAAAAAAATAATGTTTATTTACCAAAAAAAAAAATAATAATAATAATAAAACAAATTTTATTATACTAGTTTGAAATACATACTGTATATTATTATAATTCATGGATTTTTGATATAATTGATATAAAAATTTGATACAATTAATTAAGTTATTATTAAACCATATAAAATAATTAAGTTATAATATAATTATTTTTAAAAATTTAAAAATTAAATTAATAGTAAAATATTTTATATCACATATATTATATAAATTATTTATATAATAAAATTATTAAATTAAATTAAATATAATTAAAATTAAGAATTTGATAATCAAAAAAATTATAAAAAAAAAAAACTCTTTCCCAAAAATTTTGTATCGCTTAAAAATTTCCTTTTTTAGTAACTGACAAAATTCAAAGGAGAAG